ATGCACTCATGCCCCCGTGCGCCATGCCCCCATGTGCCCACCCACCCATGCTCCCATCCGCCAGTGGTGTTGGGAGAGTTTGCCAACTTTGCGGCGTATGCCTTTGCACCAGCCATCCTCGTCACACCACTGGGTGCTCTCAGCATCATCAGGTGGGTGTGTGCCCTTTCGCACTGTCTGACAGACAGACTTATTTCCCACTTCTCCGTCCCACCTATCGTTTGGTGGAGGACAAAACCATGAGAATTGCGGGCCGTGCTGTGGTACCCACTTCTCCTTCCCACCGATCTTTCTCTGCCAATCGCCACCTACTTCACTGCGCTCTCTCGTTTCCGACCTTGCCTTCCCTGGCAGTGCCTTACTAGGGCGCATGCTACTGTATGTGAACTGCACGTGCTGGGGTGGCTGTTGACGCGCCTCAAATTCCTTTCCCCCCTCCGCCGCCCCTCCCAGCGCCATACTAGCGCACTTGCTGCTGGACGAGAAGCAGCACGTGCTGGGGTGGCTGGCTGGCTGTTGACGCACATCTCAATCTCTTCCCCTCCTCCCATCCCGTTCCCCCCCATCGCCCCCTTTGCCGCCTCTCCCAGCGCCATACTAGCGCACATGCTACTGGATGAGAAGCTCCACGTGCTGGGGTGGCTGGGGGCGACGCTGTGTGTGGTGGGGTCCATAGCCATCGTGCTGCACACCCCCCAAGAGATGGAGATTGATAACGTCAAGCAGCTCTGGGCGCTCGCTACTGAACCAGGTGGGATGGTTGCTACTGCCGAGCCAGGTTGATGGGCAGGGGCAGTTGGTTGTGGGGTGTCGTGCTGCACACCCCTCAGGAGATGGAGATCGATAATGTCAAGCAGCTCTGGGCGCTCACCACTGAACCAGGTGGGACCACTTGGCATCGCCGAGCCATGTAGGATTGCTTGCCACTGAGCCACACTAGTGCTGGCCTCCTCTGCCGCCTGCCTCGTCCAATTGCCTCCTCCTTGACGTTCCGTTTCTCTCCCTCCCTTCCACGCCCTAACTTACGCCCTCCCCCACGCCCTCCCCCACGCCCTCCCCCACACCCTCCCCCACACCCTCTCCCACACCCTCCCCCATGCCCTCCCCCATGCCCGTCCTCGTCTACCTCGCTATCTGCTCGCTGCTCAGCTCCATCTCCGTGAGTGCACTCTCTTGACGTGCTCTTTCCTCTGTGCTTTGCAGCTCTCTTTCCTCTGCCCGTCCTTCACAGGATATGGCAGCATGGGCAGCATGTCTTTTGTCAACTACTCTTTGCTCATGCCATGTGTGCCTGCCGCGACTGCGGTGTGTCCACTGCGCATGTCCCTGTGTGAGCTGCCAGGTGGCGAGCTGCAAGGCCCTAGGGATTGCCGTGAAGCTGACCTTGTACGGTGACAACCAGCTCTTCTACCCCGAAACCACCTTCTTTGCCGTTGCCCTTGCCGCCTGTGCCGTCACACAAATCAACTACCTCAACAAGGTGTGTGCCGGTTGATTCATAACAAGAGAGCAGAGCTACCTCGACAAGGTGTGTGCGCTCTGAGTTCGTGTTGAGTGCATGCTGAGTGGACGCTGACTACACGCTCAGCAATATTACCTGGTTGTTACTGTATAGTGCCCGACATGACACACGTGCTGGAGATGTCATAGTAAGATGCCCCACTACTATGTCATCATCACCACCCTCACCCTACTGAGATGCTTCAGGTCCTTACTCGTCATACCTCCCTTTCTTTCTCCCACTCCTCATTCCCATTGAACTGCTTCCTTACCAGTCCCTAGACATGTTCAACACAGCAATGGTAACGCCCATATACTACGTCATGTTCACCACGCTCACCATAGTGGCGTCGGTCATAATGTACAAGGACTGGGCGGGGAAGATGGCAGAGCAAGTGCTCATGGAGTTCTGCGGCTTCCTCACCATCCTCATCGGCACCTACCTGCTCCACGCCACCAAGGACTTTGCGGGCGACTCCTCCCGCCTGCACCTTTTTGACCCCTCTGCTCGTACGTGCTCTCCCTTCCCCTTCTCTCCCATGTGCTCTCTCTTCCCATCTACCCGTACTTTCCGCACTAGTGCACCACAACTATTTGTACTTGTTCCCTTCTCCCCGCATGCTCCCTGATTATCACCTTTTTTCTCATCCTGCGCCCCTGCCCTACACTCCCCTACAGGAGTCACGCCTGCCAAGAACCCGACAGCCCTCAAGGGGCACATAGGGCTGGGCACCATGCCGTCAGGAGGCTCCAAGGATGGTAAAGACGACCTTGACCCTGAGGCCAAACCAATGCTGTGACCGGTGCTTGGCTGCTTTGCATTGCCGCATGACATGCGTTATTTTTTTCTGGTGGTGTATTGTGGTTGGTTTCCAAGTCGCAAAATAAAGCCCCCAACTAGAACCAGTTGTCACATGTGCATAATTCAGTCCAACAACATCTCAAAGGGGGTGCCCTGGCGTTTGCACAATGGCTGAAAACTAGCTGTACACATCAGTAATGCACAGACTGTCGCTAGATCCCAGAATATATGCTTGTTTCGGTATACTTTTTTATCGCAACTTCTCTTTACCAAAGACCCCGTCTGCCCTCGCACCGAACCTTCTGTTTCCCTCCAAAACATTCAAATACTCACACTGAAGGATCTTTTCAGGGCCTTTGCCAGCCAATCCCCGCACCTCCCGAGCCTAACAGCTTCGAGCCTCATGCTCGCTCTTATAACCAAAATATAGAATAGTGAACCCCGTCCCAGCTTGAAAGGGTCTTCCGGAGTGGGTTTGCAAAGCACTGTTTCAAACATTTCGTGTGTGCAGATCGAAGCCATTTGATTGGCTCCCGCCAAAAACGAAATTCTTGGGCCTTACACAAGGAATCGCCTTCAACATGATGCACTCGCACGACGACTGCACGGCGATCATTGCGATCGTTGGGCCCAACTCCAACTTCAAGCTGGACCTGGGTTCCACTACTTTCCACTCTAGTCTCTAGTTTAGCCAAGCTTAGAATAGCTGAAAACGTAGGCATTTTTGCCTAGACAACTACCAATTTTATAAATTTAATCCTCATCCTTCTAGTGGCAAGGGATCTTACGTGCCGCGTAGCGACACTTGCCTCGAGATTATTCGGTTGAACGCGCTCGCTGCCGAAACGCCCTTTCGTCGCTCAGCTCATCACCTTCACATTCGCGAGGGATTGAACTCGCGCCGGCCTTATTCCGTCCCCCCCGCCCATCACCCACCCCTTCGTATTCGCGCTTGCCTCGATACACTCTCTCGTCGCCCACCCCGTTTTTCCCATTTCGTCCCATCGCTTGCACGCTCTCCCCTCCTGTCCTGCCGCCCTCTCTCTCACCCCTCCCTTCCCGTCGCGCTCTCTCTCTCTCCGCGCCCTTCTCGTCGCCCTCTCTCTCGCCCCTCTCTTCCCGTCGCGCTCTCTCTATCCGCGCCCTTCCCGTCGCCTCCCTTCCCATCGCGCTCTCTCTCTCCCCTCCCTTCCCGTCGCCCTTTCTCTCCCCCCTCCCTTCCCATCGTGCTCTCTCTCTCTCCGCTCCCTTTCCGTCGCCCTCTCTCCCGTCGCCCTCTCTCCCATCGCCAGCACTCTCTCCTTCGCTCTGTCTCGTCGCCCTCTCTCCCATCGCCCTCTCTCCCATTGCCCTCGCTCTCTTCTTCGCTCTGTCTCGTCGCCCTCTCTCCCGTCGCCCTCTCTTCCGTCGCCCTCTCTCCCATCGCCCTCTATCTCTCACGTCGCCCTCGCTCTGTCCCGTCGCCCACGCTCTCTCCCGTCGCCCCCGCTCTCTCCCGTCGCCTCGCGAAATTCTCTGCCGTCTCGTAGTAATATCGACCTTGCTATCCCCCTTTCTTGAAGCTCAAAGTGTTAAGTGACGATATTTTTAGCTGCTGGCGGGGCGGGGCTAATCACCTGATGCTAAATACTTATGCAGCCAACTAGTTCTTTTATGTTTTCTTATTATAATAATAGGGACCCTAATTTCGTACAAATTTACTTCCCCTCCCGTTGATCCCTTCAGGTCCTTGTTCCCGTTCCCTTAGTCTCTCCCCTCCATTTCCGTCGCCCGTGCTCTCTCCCCTCTATTCCCGTCGCCCTCGCGTTCTCCCCTCCCTTTCGATTGCCCTCGCTCTCTTCCCTCCCTATCCGTCTCCCTTGCTCTCTCCCCTCCCTTTCCGTCGCCCTCGCTCCACCTCATCTGACCCTACCCCATGCCCCTCCCATCTCCCTACCATTCCGCAGATTTTGCTCACGCATCTCTCTTCCCGCGTCCTCGTTTCTGCTGCACTAAGTGTCTCTTCTCTCGTGCCCTGAAATTCTCTGTTTTTTTCGCTTCTTGTTTTTCCCATGTTGTTATTGCCTCCCTTGCAGGCCCATGTCTAAGGCATTTGCTTTGCGTGCGTTGGGCTTGCTTTGCATGAGTTGGACGTGCTTCACAATCCGAATTTGGCACTGGATATGAATGAGACTTGCGCATCGCAATGTTTTGAGTGACGCATTTGCACATGCTTGCGATGATTTTGTTTGAGTTGAAGTTTGGAAACTCGACCAGCATCATAATGCGCCTGAAAAAAAATAAAGAAAAGCACTTCAACTTTCAAGTGGACCCAACTAGAAGGGAGGGGGTCACTATTTTAGCTGCTGGCTTTATGATGTGGCGTTGGTTTTGTGAGTGAGGGGCCAGGCCATCCTTGGCTTGGAAAGGAAGCTGGCAGAATTCAGCCGCCATGACGGTGGGAGTCCCCTTGGTTGCTTCTTTCAGTTTGGAGCCTCGTGGGGTCTGTTGGGAGCGGGATGAGGCAGCTCTCTTGGTTTCTCCTCGCCTTCTTTTGTCACTTCCTTACCAGGCCTGTCGATTCAAGGGCATATGCCCTTAATGCCCTGAACATTCCGGGCTACTTTTGCTCCAGCTCGACTGCCAAAAGTCCTAGAATCGCACTGCACCCATGCCACTAAGTGCCTCGCTCGACCCTTCCCCGGATGCGTTAAGGGCCCAAACCAGGCCTTCCCCTGTCTCGAAGTTCTGGTTTCTGGTTGTAGGACCCACCCCTCCCCCTCCCCCAAATTCTGCCTGACCCCACCCCCCCTTTCTCCTTAGGTTGCACGAGACGAGTGGGTTTTTCCCTTAGCGTTTTCTAGCCAATCCTGTGTTTGTAAAGTGTTTAAGTCAGCTTGGAGCACCCGAATTTTCCCTTAGCGTCTTTCAGTGACCCCCCCCCTTTCTCCTTAGGTTGCACGAGAGAATTGATTTTTCCTTAGTGTTTTCTAGCCATCCCGTGTTTGTAAAGTGATTAAGTCAGCTTTGGAGTACCCAAAATTTTCCTTAACGTCTAAGTGCAAACTCTTCACAGGCCCAGATTTTAAGTTTTCACTTTGGGGTGCGCCCGTGATCGTAAAGGGCGCCCAAATGCTCAACTACACCAAAAACAGGGTCAGATGGGGAGGAGCTGGGGAGCGCAAGTATGGGTCCCAGGAAGTTCGACAGGCCTGTTCCTTATCTCCACTTGCACTATCTTTCAGGCCTGCCGTTTTCTTATCTCTGATCAGGCCCCCTGTCCAGCAATGTCAGCTGCTGGTTGCACTATCCCCTAGTTCACTCGCATGCCTGCACTAACTTGGAAGTCAAGTCATTAATTTGCCGCGACTTTGGCTGGCAATCGATAATAATATGAATGAGAGTTAGCCGAATGTCGTGAGGACGTTGTCAGGCCGTGGCGGATTGGGATTCGAAGTTAAGAATGTATCGTACGTCACTTACAATGGATTTGATCCCGCGGATATGAAGTTAAAACCCACAGGCCAAGAAGTTCAAGCTTAGGAAGCTTGGTTGGGAACAAACCTGCTATTGGCACGCGAAAGGACTGATCCGTCGAAAAGGTTGGACGATGTGGGCGAACTTGATCAGGGTCGCCAAAGTAACCACACCCTCAATGCGACAAGAACACCCCCACCTATTAATCGCACAAACCCACCGGCGACCACAACCCATGTCAGAGTGTCGAGCCCCCCAAGGACACTTCTATCAGGAGCTCAGTAACCCTATCTATGCCACCTGGTTCAGAATAAGTAGAGTGTGATATCGTCACCGCACAAACCAACGACCCGTGACTGCGTAATCTATATATTTCAAGGTCCCCTAACAAGGACACAAATAGAGATATTTCCATCGCCGAAGCGTCCAGGTGCGAAATCCGTGAAATAAGCTCTTCCCACCACGGTTAGGGTTAGCTCGTGCTGAAATTTCCTCACGCCACGATTCCCCTACTCTCACGCTAGGGTTTTCTCCCCTTCTTTACGCCAGGATTCCCCATCCCGGACCCGTCGCGCTGCTATTTCTTCCCGTCGCAGCGCGTAGCCATTTTTGACGCGCTGTGACTTCATGACGTCGCCTGCAACACCAAGATCATCGAATATTCTCATCCCGAACGCATCTGTTCCATTCCCGCCGCGCTTAGGTTCCCAACCCCGCATGCTTCCATTCCCTCCCAGGAACCCCCTACCATTCTCCCCCGCCCCTTTCACGCTTCCATTTCTATCCCCGCATGCTACCATTACCCCCCCTTTCACGCACCCATTCCCCCCGGCCCCCTATATCAGACTTATATGACTTAGCCTATGTAGGCTATAGTGGGGTAGCACATATGGGGTACAACACATTTCTAGAGTTTGTACTTGTACCCAACTTTTCCCTTAGTCATTCCATTCCTCGTTTCTCACATGGTATAGAGCAGGTTCCCTAGTGGGAACTTCCTAGGGCCCACCACTGAAAATTTTTTTTCCTGCCCTGAGATCGAGTCGCACCTGACCGAGGCGCGCCCTGTGTGCCGCCCTCCCCTTAGCGACCCGTCGCGCCGCCCTTGGCGGCCCACCTTCTCTCACGGCCCCTCGCGACCCCGTCGCCGCCCCCTAGCGGCCCGTCGCGCCGCCCTGAACGGCCCATCGCGCCGCCCTCAACGGCCCCTTGCGGCCCCACCTCTCGCGGCCCCGTCGCCGCCCTCTCGCGACCCCGTCGCCTCCCTCTCACGGCCCCGACGCCGCCGTTCGCGGCCCCGCCGCCGCCCTTAGCGGCTGCGTTGCCGCTCGTCGCGGCCCTGCAGCCGCTCCTCGCGGCCTCGTCGCCGCCCTCTCGCGGTCGCGTCGCCGCCCTCTAGCGGCCCCCAGTGCCGCCCTCTTGCGGCCTCGTCGCCGCCCTCTCGCGGCCCAATCGCCGTCCTCTTCACGGCCCGTCGTGCCGCTCTCAACGGCCCCCTGCGGCCCCACCTCTCCCGGCCCCTTCACCGCCGAGCCGCCAAGCAGCTGAGCAGCCGAGCAGCTGAGCAGCCGAGCCGCCCAGCCGCCGAGTCGCCTGCGGCCGAGCCGCCGAGCCGCCGAGCAACCGAGCCGCCCAGCCGCCCAGCCGCGGAGTCGCCTGCAGCCGAGCCGCCGAGCCGCCGAGCAGCCGAGCCGCCAAGGCCGCCGTCGAGCCGCCACTGCCTCTGTCGAGCCGCTGCCACCGCTGTTGCAACCCTGGTACTACTGGCGCGCCCCGGCCCTACCCACTCGGACTGGTGAGAGCATTCCTTGCTACACCACTGCTGTCATGGCTACCCCCAGTGTCCTTACCTTTGATGCTGAGGGTCGTGCTGTTGACTTCAAGGTCTGGGTCGATGACCTGCAGCTTTTCCTACAGTGCGATAGGGCAGACGGACTCTCCCTGTTCGATCTCACCTCTGGTGCCTCTCCTGCCCCGCCTGCTGGTGCTGATAGCACTGTTCGCTCACAGTGGGCCACACGCAATGCTGCTGCCCGTCTTGCTGTGCGTCGCCGCTTACCGACCGCTGAGCGTGCGCACTTTAGTCAGTACAATAGTGCTAAGACCTTGTACAACGCTGTAGTTGCACGCTACTCTTCCCCTACCACTGCTGCTCTTAGCCGCCTCATACTGCCGTACCTGTTCCCTGACCTTGCTGCCTTTTGCACAGTCGCTGACCTCATTACGCACCTTCGCACTAGTGACACTCGCTACCGCGCTGCGCTTCCTGCTGAGTTCTGCGTCAAGAACCCTCCCCCCATGTACATCACCCTCTACTACATAGTCACCTGGCTCCCTGACTCCCTTCGCTTAGTCAGGGACCACTTCCTCTCAGTTTGCCCCACCACACTCACCGTTGACCTCCTCGAGGAGCGCCTCCTGGCAGCAGAGAAGAGCATAGTCGCTGTAGGAGCCTCTAGAGGTGACCCGCGTGCCCCTGTCTTTGAGGGGTGCTCCCCCTCCCCCCTTTTGCACTCTGTTGCCTCTGCTGCTGCCGTCGACTTCGTTGGCTCCGAGTCGGTCGGCGCTGCGTCTGCCCCTAGCGGGCGACGCCGCACCGGCAAGGGCAAGGGGGGCAAGGGCGCTAGAGGGGCTGGCGGGGGCGGTGGAGGTGGAGGTGGAGGAGGCGGAGGGAGTGGGGGTGGTGGTGGGAGTGGTGGCGGGGGTGGGGGCTTCGGTGGCGGCAGTGGCGGCGGAGGCGGCAACGGCGGTGGCGGTGGGAGCGGAGGAGGAGGCAATGGCGGCAGTGGTGGAGGTGGCGGCGGCAGAGGTGGAGCTAGTCGGGGTGGCTCTGCGCAGCGGAGCGGCTCAGGTGGTGGTCAGCGCCAGCAGCAGCAGCGCACTCGTGAGACCCCGTCCCCCCAGCGGCTTCGTGAGTGGTACACTGCGCGTCAGCGAGGTCGGGGTGCTGGTCCCTGTACCTACATCCTCCGTACCGGCGACCGAGTTGGTGAGCAGTGCGGGGGCTTGCACTCCACCCAGCGCTGCTTTGGCCGCCTGACGGACGCTTGGCGTCACCAGTTCCCTGACGCCACTGAGATCCCTCGCTGGGGAGAGCTGTCTAGGGCGGGGGTTGCTATCTTTGATCTTGACTATGATGCTATTCTTGCTGCCATGTATGTTGTGTCTACTAGTGATGAGGGTGACTGTTACCTGTGTCTTCCGCCTGACCCGGGCATTGCGGCTGCTGCTCTAGGTGCTGGTGAGGCTGCTGCTCTAGGTGCTAATGCGTCTGCTGCCCCAGGTGCTGGTGAGTCTGCTCTCTCAGGTACCACGTCGGCTCAGGCCTTACACACCTTCACCCTTGACTTGGGTGCTTCCCGCTCCTTCTTTCGAGACCGCACCACACTTACGCCGCTTAGTCAGCCGGTTGCGGTCTCCCTGGCGGACCCCTCTAGGAGTCCTGTCCTTGCTCGCTTCTCGACTGTCTTACCGTGTCCGGCAGCCCCCTCTGGCACCTGTCAGGTCTCTACCTCCCCTCGTTCTCTACAAACTTGGTCAGTGGTGCTGATCTACAGGATCGGGGGGTTGACCAGTTCACTCCTGCGAGTCAGCGGGTGACCCACTGCACGTGTGCTCGGACAGGCCGACACTTGGCCACGTTTACCCGTCGGCCGAGGTCGAGCCTTTACACACTGACTACTGATTCTCCTCCGATTGCTGAGTCTGGTCAGGTAGCTGCGTCGAGTCAGGTGTTTGCTGCAGCGTCCCGGTCTGGTCCTGAGTCTGCTCCCTGCTCGTGTCGTCTCCTGTCCCACCAGACTCTCCTTTGGCACCACCACCTTGGTCACCCCTCCCTGCCTCGTCTCCAAGGCATGGCCTCCCGTGTCCTTGTCTCTGGACTCCCCCGGTCCCTCCCTCCCCTCCCTCCGGGGCCTGCCCCTACCTGCGTTCCCTGCGTCGAGGGGCGGCAGCGCGCCACCCCTCACTCCTCCGAGTTTCCTCCGACAGAGGCTCCCCCGCCCGCGTCCGTGGCCATGGTCACGAGCGTTACTTCATGTTGGTGGTTGACGACTACTCATGTTACACCACGGTGTTCCCCTTGCGCAGCAAGGGTGACGTTACTGAGGTGTTGATCGACTGGATCCGCGCAGCTCGTCTCCAGCTCAGACAGAGTTTCAGCTCAGACTTTCCTGTTCTGCGTCTGCACTCTGACAGAGGCGGGGAGTTTTCCTCTGCCCGTCTGGGAGCCTTCTGTCGTGCACAGGGCATCCGCCAGACCTTCACGCTTCCGGCCTCTCCACAGCAAAATGGGATTGCTGAGCGCCGCATTGGCATGGTCATGGACGTCGCTCGTACGTCCATGATCCATGCGGTTGCTCCCCACTTTCTGTGGCCGTTTACGGTTCAGTACGCAGCACATCAGCTCAACCTTCAGCCACGGGTCTCCTTGCCAGAGACCTCCCCCACCTTGCGGTGGACCGGGAAGGTTGGCGATGCGTCTGCGTTTCGGGTCTGGGGATCTCGGTCGTGTGTCCGCGACTTGTCTGCGGACAAGCTGTCCCCCCGTGCTGTTCCCTGCGTCTTCCTTGGCTTCCCCCCTGACGCGCCTGGTTGGCAGTTTTACCACCCCACCTCGAGCCGTGTTCTGTCCTCCCAGGACGTCACCTTTGACGAGTCGGTGCCTTAATACCGTCTCTTCCCCTACCGCACTGCGCCCCTCCCCCCCCCCCGCCGCTCTTCCTTGCGCCAGGTCCTCCCCCGGTAGACCCTCTCCCGCCTCAGGGTCCTGCCCCATCAGGTGTGTCTCAGGTAGACGCAGTCGAGCCTGCCGAGGTAGCTGTTGACTCTGGTGCTGCTAGGGGTGCTGAGCCTGGGGGTGCTGGGTCTGGGGGTGCTGAGTCTGGGGGTGCTGAGCCTAGGGGTGCTGAGGCTTGGGGTGCTGAGCATGGGGGTGTGGAGCCTGGGGGTGTTGCGCCTGGGGGTGCGGAGCCTGGGGGTGCTGAGCCTAGGGGTGCAGAGTCTGGGGGTGCGAAGCCTGGGGGTGTTGGGTCTGCTCGTGTGGCGTCTGGCGGTGATTCGTCAAGGCGGGAGCTACTCTCTCCGCAAGAGCTGCGCGAGTGGTTTGCCCGGCACTGGAGCCTTGCTGCTAGAGCTGGAGGTACTACTGTTGCTGCTGGTCCTGGAGGTGCTCGTACTAGCGGTACTGGAGCTGCTGGGACTGCGGGTGCTGCTGGGGCTGCTGGAGTTAGTCCTGCTGGAGGTACTGCTGGAGCTGCTGGCGGTACTAGAGCTGACGGTCCTGCTGGAGTTGGTGCTGCTGGAGCTGCTGGAGCTGGAGCTGCTGGGGGTGTTGGCGTTGGTGGTGCTGCTGGTGCTCATGCTTCTGAGGGTGCTGGAGTTGGCACTGTTGGAGCTGGAGGTGCTGCTGGCACTGATGCTGCCGCTGGGGGTACTGGTGCTGTCCCTGCTAATTCAAGAGGCGCTGCGCGGCCGAGGCCGTACTTCGTTCCGCTCCTTGAGCAGGTTCTTGGTCTGCCGCCCTCTACTGGTCCTGCTCCTCCCTTAGAGAGTCCACAGCCTGTCCAGTCGCGGTCACAGTTACAGCCCGCCTTCCCCCTACCTGCTCCTTCTCCCTACACTGGTCCTATTGGAGGTCTTACTGAGCGTCTTGAGCCTGCGTCTCGTCCTGCGTCGCCTGTTCGTGCTGCTCGCACTAGTGGTCGTGTTCCGCGTCCGCGTCCTCCTGCGGTCCCAGGCACACACCAAATGGCACTACGTCCGTCCACTGCTCCTCTGCGTGTCCCGTTGCCGTCTCCTCCAGAGTCCTCTCTTCCTGCCCTTGTTGACCTGGAGTCTGACTCTCTTCGTGCTGCCAGTCCTACTGTCACGCGTCTCCTGGCTACTGTTGTCACTGACCCTTCCTTTGAGTCCACTGCTGTGTCTGCCTTAGTTGCTGAGCTTGTCGACTTTGCTGCTCGATGTCGTCTAGACTACGCCACTAGTCTTGCTGCTGAGTCTGAGTCTGTCTGTCCTCCGTCCGTCGGGGGTGAGTGTGCTCTTAGCACGGACGTCCTTGAGGACAAGTAGGAGGAGTTCCAGAGTTTTGCTGCTGCTTTGCCTCATCTCGTGTCCACGCTGATTGCCCCTGAGGGAGACCCGGATGCACCAGACATCCCGACTCCTCGATCGTACGCTGAGGCGATCGAGGGTCCCTACTCCTCTCAGTGGCAGTCAGCCATGGACGCAGAGATGGCTTCATGGAAGTCCACAGGCACCTACGTCGACGAGGTTCCCCCACCTGGGGCGAACATCGTCAGTGGCATGTGGATTTTCAGGGTGAAGCGGCCGCCGGGTTCTCCACCTATCTTCAAGGCGCGTTACGTGGCTCGAGGCTTCACTCAGCGGCAGGGAGTTGACTACTTTCATACCTTCTCTCCCACCCCGAAGATGACCACTCTTCGGGTGCTGCTGCACATAGCCGCTCAGCGCGACTACGAGCTTCACTCTCTTGACTTCAGCACAGCTTTCCTGCAGGGCAGCCTGCACGAGATCTGGCTGCGCCGCCCACCTGGCTTCACTGGGTCGTTCCCTCCTGGTACCCAGTGGAGCCTCCGGCGGCCAGTCTACGGTCTCCGCCAGGCGCCCCGTGAGTGGCACGACACAGTGAGGACTACACTTGCGGCTCTTGGGTTTGCTCCTTCTACTGCCGACCCGTCACTGTTTCTGCGCACCGACACCTCTTTGCCGCCGTTCTACATCCTCGTGTACGTCGACGACTTGGTCTTTGCCACTGGTGACACTGCTGGACTCGCCCACGTGAAGTCCGAGCTGCAGAAGAGACACACGTGCACAGACCTGGGTGAACTGCGCAGCTACCTTGGCTTGCAGTTCACCCGGGACAGAGCACAGCGCACCATTACCCTGACTCAGTCACACATGGTGCAGCAGGTCCTTCAGCGCTTTGACTTCACGTACTCCTCGCCTCACGCCACTCCTCTGTCTACTCGCCACTCGCTCTCAGCTCTGCCTTCGGATGAGTCCATAGAGCCGAGTGGCCCGTACCCAGAGCTTGTTGGCTGCCTCATGTACCTGATGACCTGCACACGACGTGACCTCGCATACCCTCTTAGCATCTTGGCACGCTATATTGCTCCTGGGAGACACCGACCAGAGCACATGGCTGCAGCGAAGAGGGTGTTGCGCTACTTGTGCAGTACGTCGGGCATGGGGCTAGTGCTTGGAGGGCGACGTCGAGTGGTCCTCACAGGTCACGCAGACGCTTCTTGGGCTGACGACCAGGCTACGCAGCGGTCGTCATAGGGTTACACCTTCAGCCTTGGCTCCAGCTCTGTTTCGTGGCAGTCTACCTGCTCGTCTTCTGTTCTCGGCTCCAGCTGTGAGGCTGAGATCTACGCGGGGGCCATGGCTGCACAGGAGCTACGCTGGCTCACCTACCTGCTGACTGACCTAGGAGAGCCACCTCGTTCTCCTCCAGTTCTGTACGTAGACAACAAGGCCATGCTGGCCTTGTGTCGGGAGCACAGACTGGAGCACAGAACGATGCACATTGCTTTTCGCTACTTCCTTGCTCGTGAGGTGCAGCAGCATGGTCAGCTCCGCTTTGCTTACATGGCCTCTGAGGCCAACACTGCTGATATCTTTACCAAGGCACTTTCGCCTTGTGATCATCAGCACTTCTGTACGATGCTAGGTCTTGTGCCTACTTGGCCTCACTTGCTCACTTCTTGACCTTGCTTGTACTGTGATCTTTCTATACCTGCACTTGCTTGTTTATCTTTATATATTATCTTGCATGTGAACTGGCCTTGTGGCCTTGCTCTTGTGCTCGGACTGTGTGGTGACGTTGTGATCCACCCTGAGCTTGCTTTGCTTTGCTTGACTGGTCTTGTGACCCCTTGTTCCCCCCCACTTTGCCTATAGGGGTGTGTCAGACTTATATGACTTAGCCTATGTAGGCTATAGTGGGGTAGCACATATGGGGTACAACACATTTCTAGAGTTTGTACTTGTACCCAACTTTTCCCTTAGTCATTCCATTCCTCATTTCTCACACCCTATACGCTTCCATACATTCCCCCGCATGCCACCATTCCCCCCTTTGCACGCTTCCATTCCCCGCCCCCTCTCACGCTTCCATTACCTCCCCCGCATGTTTCCATTCCTCCCCATTTCACGCTACCATTCCCCCCCGCCCCCATTATGCTTCCATTTCTTCCCCCGCATGCCACCATTCCTCCCCCCTCCTTTGCCCCCTTGCTTCCCCTCCTTTTCCCCCCTGCTTTCTCTCCTTTCCCCTCCTGCTTCCCCTGCTGCTTCCCCTCCTTTCCCCCCCTGCGTCCCCTCCTTTCCCCACCTGCTTCCCCTCTTTTCTCCCTCTCCTTTCCTTCATTTTCCTCTCCTCCCTCCCTCTCCTCCCTTGTCCAATCCCCTCCCTCCCCAACCCTAAACCCTCATCCAATCCCCTCCCTCCCCTCTCCTCACTCGTCCAATCTCCTCCCCTCCCTCTCTCATCTTCCCTATCCCCCCGAATCCTACTCTCCCCTTTTCCCCTACACCCCCTCTTCCTATCTCCTCCTCCTCTTCGCCCTCTCCTATGCCCTCGTTTACCCCCCTGCTAGCCTCTTGCTTCTCCCACGCATCCCCCCTGTTCCCTCTCTGATAGCCCCTTGTTTCCCCCCTGCTAGCCCCCTCTTCCCTCCCTTCTAGCCCCTTGTTCCTCCCCTGCCAAATCTCCTCACTTGCTCCCTTCCTCTCTTCTGCACTTCCCCCCTTCCTCTCTGTCCCGCCTTTCCTCCCTTGCTTCCCCTTGTTTACTTTACCCCCTTTCTTCCCCTCATTTTCCCCCCTGCTTCCCCCTCATTTCCTCCCATGCTTCCCCTCATTTCCCCCCCTGCTTCCCCTCATTCTCCCACCTGCTGTCCATTATGCTCCCCCCTTGCTTACTGTTCCTTTCCTCATGCTCGCCATCCTCCCCCCCACTCACCCCTTATTCCCCTCCAGTTTACCCTCTGTTTCTCCACTCCTTTCTGGTTTTTGGGCCTTGACAGCACAACTTGAAGGTCATCCAGCCCTCGTGTCCTTGTTCTTGAGTGGTTCTCTTTGCAGCAGGGCCCTAGATATCAGACTTTGGAGTCTGATTCAGAGTCCGTTCAGACTTTTTTTTTGTACCTAGTCTGAACTCAAAGAATTTTTTTATGCACCCTGTCTGATTTTTCAGAGTTTTTTTAACTGACTTGTCTGAAATTTCATAGTAGTCATAGCAGTGTAGGCTGAGCCTCAAACTTGTATCGGGGGTCCACTCTGAAACCGGTTATACAGGGGTTTCCACCGACTGAATGAAAGGTTATCGGAACGAAACTTCCTCGAAACTTTTTTTCGATACACCCACGTGTGTACGGGCCAGCACTAACGATTTCCTTCGGATAAAACTGCTCGATTAGGGGTATCAGGATACACTACTTTGTCGACGCTATCTCGAGTGTCGAATTCATTGGGGGCTTATAATAACACTTAAATTGTGAGACTAGATAGCCAATCGCACATGGCCAAAACGATTTTAGCGAATCGCACATGGCGAAAAGCGAATTGGTTCAACCGAAAGCCGTGTCACATATGAGTCTCGTACTTCAGCAGAACCGCACATCATTTCCCCTTCCCAAACCGAGTCAAAATTTTGAATCTGCAACTTTAGGAGAGAATATTCCGCGCATATAGGGTGTACACAGTTGAAAACTCTTGCTGCAGCCAGCGCGCCCAGCACAGAAAAGTTCCGAGCGAGACCGTGCCTGCTGCCACGTCAGCTGATTGGGAGCTTGCCACACTTGGCACTTGCACGAGGCCATTGTCTGATGCCCACACGTCGACTCGACCCTGACTGCTCAGTGATCCTAACTCTTGACAAATGACCAATCAGAGTGCCCCATTTTTGGCCGTACAATTGCGTTGGTATGCTGTAATCAGCTTCAATGCTATTATAGCTATGCTGTTATGAAACTGCATGAACATCTTAAAATTTGAAGTAACTCTGACAGTTCAGACAAAAGAAGTTGTGCTTGTCTGAATTTTCAGACTAAAAAAAATAGGTAACTCTGACAGCCAGACTAGTAAGAGGGGTGTACTCTGAGGCGTCAGACTACCTCAAAACGAATCTAGGGGCCTGCTTTGCAGCTTGGTCGAACCAAATAAGTAGAGGGGGTCTACGGCTTTTTTGTAAAACTACGGTATTGTATCAATCAAACGAGCATCACTTTATTCAAGACGGATAGTGCATGCAAAATTTGATGACGTAGATAGGTAACATCTGGACCTTGCAATAACTTCTTTTCCATCTCCGAGTAAAGCATTGTTACATGATGCAACTAGGCACAACACCGAGGGGTGCAATTTGTGAACCATGTTCTACAAATTTCAAGAGAAATGTGAGAGTTGTCCACTGCTCTAGCTGTTTAGTGTTCGCAACATTTTCTTGTGCCTGCTGCTGCTCTACGCTTCTCTAGCTTCTCTACCCTGCCAAACTCCTCTGAGCCCGCACTAGTCCTGCTTGAAGTGAAAGCAAAGGGTCGAGAGATGGGAAGACAAGGACGAGAGGTGTGAAGGCAGGAAAGGAAGAAGGGGAATAGTGGGGAACAGTGAGAAACGGAGGGGAATGGAGTGGGCACTCACTCGTGATAGAGACTAGGTATTATTCAGGAGAGGGAAAATGGGAAAATGCAGGAAGTAATCCCTCGCCTACTCTGTCCGTCCCCATCTGTTCGTCCCCAGCTGTCCGTCCCCATCTGTCCCTCCCCCTCTGTCCATCCCCATCCGGTGTGTAGGGGATTATGGAGGCAGGATACAGGGGGGGCAAGGCGTGCCTCTGTGTGGGGGGCCATGGAGGTGGATACAGGGAGGAAAGGAGGGTGGTGTGTGGCGGGGTATGGGGATTGTGCTTGTATGCATGCATGGTTCAAAAAGCCACCTCCACCTGCCCCTGCCCCTGCAGCGTTAGCATGTGAAGCATGATGAGGCATGGCGGCGGTAGATGTCGCACCGCCTGCTGCAGCGGTGGTGGCGGAAGTGGGTGGGGCAGCCCCACTGCGCGTGCAGGGAGAGATGCAAGACGAACCAGCCACGGCGTGGCTTGCTTTGCTGCCAAAAGCAGAGGTGTCGTGGCAATTGTGTCATGGGTGCCGCGTCTGCGACACGGACAGGGGGCAGACACGGCATGCGCGGCTCATGCCTGCCATTCCCTGAGAGTGGGGCGAAGGGGGGAACGGGCAAGGGTGGGGTGGGGACAGACGAGAGAGGGGGAAGATGAGGGGAGAGGGGCAAGATGAGGGGAGAGGGGCAAGATGAGGGCTTAGGGGGAAGATTAGGGGAGAGGGGGAAGATGAGGGGAGAGGGGGGAGATGGGGGGATATGAGAGAGGAGATGGGGGTGATGACGGGAGAGGGGGAAGATGGGGGGAGAGGGGGGTACAGCGCGGGAGATGAGAGTCACATGGGGGGGGGATAGGAGAGGTACGTGGGAGGGACAGGAGAGATGATGAGATCCAGGGAGAGGAGGGGCATTTGGGGAAAGCGAAGGGCGGAGGGTGGGGGGAAGCAGGGCAAGAGGGAGGGGGGAAGCAGGGAGGAGGGAGGGGGGAAGCATGGAGGACGGAGAGGGGAAGCAGGTGAGGCAAAGGAGAGTAGATTTGGGGGTAAACAGAGGAGGTGCGAGAAAGGGAGGTTGGGCAAAATAAAGAGAGGTGTAAAAAAATTGGGGTAAGGGAGGGCGACGGGGAGAAGGAGTGAGGGAAGAATATGCTCTCCCCCTCTGTCTCTCCCTCTCTGCCCCTCCCCTTCTGTTCCTCCCCCTCTGTCCTTCCCCTTGGTTCTCTCCGCGCCACAGTCCTTCCCCCTCTGTCTCTCCCCCTGTGTCCTTCCCATCTGCCTCTCTGTCCGTGGGAAGGAAGGAGGGAGGGAAGGAAGGAAGGAGTGCAGAGAGGGCAACAAGGAGAAGCGCGTGCGAATTGAAGAGGCGGGGGCGACGAGAAGAAGCGCGCGTGGGCGACGAGGAAAAGCGCGCGCGGGCGACGAGATAAAGCGCGCGCGGGCGACGAGGAGACCTGCGCGTGGACGACGTGGAGAAGCGTGCGCGGGCGGAGGTGAGAGAGGCGGAGGTGAGAGAGGCGGAGGTGAGAGAGGCGGAGGCGAGAGAGGCGGAGGCGAGAGAAGCGGAGGGGAGAGAGGCGTAGGTGAGAGAGGCGGAGGTGAGAGAGGCGGAGGTGAGAGAGGCGGAGGTGAGAGAGGCGGAGGTGAGAGGCGCGGAGGTGAGAGAGGCGGAGGTGAGAGAGGCGGAGGTGAGGGAGGCGGAGGTGAGAGAGGCGGAGGTGAGCGAGGCGGAGGTGAGCGAGGCGGAGGTGAGCGAGGCGGAGGTGAGCCAGGCGGAGGTGAGCGAGGCGGAGGTGAGCCAGGCGGAGGTGAGCCAGGTGCTTTCGCCTGCCCACGCGATCCCTCCTACCCATGCACCTTCGCCTGTTTGTATGTCGCATTGCCCCTGCATGGCAAATCGTGACCTAATGTCGCCGTCGCGTTGCCCTGCCGGCCAAAACGTGACCTAATGTCGCCGTCGCGTTGCCCTGCAGGGCAAATCGTGACCTAATGTCGCCGTCGCGTTGCCCTGCAATGCAAATCGTGACCTAAATGCGACGTTGCATAGCTCTGCAAGTCGAATCGTGGCCATCAGTCTGCTAACGTCACCACGCACAACTACATTTCCGGTAATGTCGGTTTTCGCGACTTCAGCACTCCCATACCTTTTGCAATTCGTGATTAGCGGGCGCCCGGTTGTCGGTATGCTGGCTAGTTGGCGGGCTGCGCGGGTCTAATAGTGGGTCCTAGAACTCGCGAATAATCACTAGCGTTTTTGGGACAAGTTTCTCTTGTCTGTGTGCCTCATGTTTACGCAGGTTGGTGTTGGGCGATAGTGCCGTGCGATGAAACCCAACTGGGCATTTGTCGCTGCTACAGTGTTTTGGTTTGGCGAATGTTCACGACCAGGTTTGTGTGTTTTCAAAAGTTGCCTCCGCTGGAAACCGGGTAACACCCAACCAACCTTAGGAAGCTTGAACCAGTTTCGTGCTTCTTGACCCTCCGGTTTTAAGATGCTAGTCCGGACGACGGTCCAGTTGAGATGGAGCAGGACGTCGTTTTTGTTAAGGAGGATAGCAGGACGGCGTTCCAGTTAAGGAGGATAGCAGGACGACGTATCAGTTAAGGAGGATACAAGGACGACGTATCAGTTAAGGAGGATAGTAGGATGGCGTTCAGTTAAGGAGGATAGCAGGACGACGTATCAGTTAAGGAGGATAGCAGGACGACGTATCAGTTAAGGAGGATAGCAGGACGGCGTATCAGTTAAGGAGGATAGTAGGACGGCGTTCAGTTAAGGAGGATAGTAGGACGACGTATCAGTTGAGACGGATAGTGTCAGAACATTATAGCTTACTTATTTGTGTAGGCTATAGTGGGGTATCCCATAGGGGGTACAACCCGATTAGGGTTTCCTATTTGTACTCACTTCATTCATAGTCATTTCATTCTCGTTCTCTCTTTCACATGGAATCAGAGCAGGTCCCCTCCTAGGGACTGTTCCTTGGGCCCACCGAAGCGCGCCCCGAGGCGCGCGTTCTTTTTTTTTAGCGACCCGTCGCCTCGCCCTCCCCCTAGCGGCCCGTCGCGCCGCCTTTTCAGTCGCGGCCCCGCCGCCCTACCCTTTGACGGCCCCGCCGTCCTACGTCGCGGCCCTGCCGCCCTACCCTACGTCGCGGCCCCGCCGCCGTACTTCGTCGGCCCCGCCGCCCTACGTCGCGGCCCCGCCGCCCTACCCTACGTCGCGGCCCCGCCGCCCTACCCTTCGCGGCCCCGCCGCCCTACTTCGACGGCCCCGCCGCCCTAAGTCGCGGCCCCGCCGCCCTACCCTACGTCGCGGCCCCGCCGCCCTACCCTTCACGGCCCCGCCACCCTACTTCGACGGCCCCGCCGCCCTACCCTTCGCGGCCCCGCCGCCCTACTTCGACGGCCCCGCCGCCCTCCCTTCGGCAGCCCCGCCGCCCTACCCTTCGCGGCCCCGCCGCCCTACTTCGACGGCCCCGCCGCCCTACCCCTCGCGGCCCCGCCGCCCTACTTCGACGGCCCCGCCGCCCTACCCTTCGCGGCCCCGCCGCCCTACCCTTCGGCGGCCCCGCCGCCCAACCTACGACCGCCGCGCCGCCCTGAACTAGAGCCGCCCGACCGCCCAGCCGCTGACCGCCGAGCCGCCCAGCAGCTGCCCGCCGAGCCGCCGAGCCGCCCGGCAACCGAGCCGCCGTGCCGCCCAGCAGCCGAGCCGCCGAGCCGCCGAGCCGCCCAGCAGCCGAGCAGCCGAGCCGCTGAGCCGCCCAGCAGCCGAGCCGCCGAGCAGCCGAGCCGCCCAGCAGCCGAGCCGCCAGCCGCTGAGCTGCCCTACCTCCAGACCGCCCGTTCTGCCCAGTCTGGTGAGCACAGAGCCTTCTTTTTCACTGCACTGCCCTCACCCTACTGCTTGCACTACTAGGCGTCTGTCGTCATGGCTACCCCCAGTGTCCTCGCTTTTGACACTGAGGGTCGGGCCATTGACTTTGAGGTCTGGGTAGATGACCTGCAGCTGTTCTTACAGTGCGATAGGGCAGACGGCCTCTCTCTCTTTGACCTTACCTCTGGCGCCTCCCCTGCCCCTGCTGCTGATGCTGACCCTACTGTTCGCTCCCAGTGGGCTACGCGCGATGTTGCTGCACGTCTTGCTGTGCGTCGCCACCTCCCTACCTCTGAGCGTGCGCACTTTAGTCAGTACAAGAGTGCTCAGACCTTGTACGACGCTGTAGTTGCGCGCTACTCCTCCCCTGCCACTGCTGCACTGAGCCGCCTCATGCTACCCTTCCTCTTCCCTGATCTTGCCGCCTTTCCCACAGTCGCTGATCTCATTACGCACCTCCGCACTAGTGACACCCGCTACCGCGCTGCGCTTCCTGCTGACTTCTGCACCAAGAACCCCCCCCCCATGTACATCACTCTCTACTTTCTAGTCACCCGCCTCCCCGACTCCCTTCGTGTAGTCCGGGACCACTTCCTTGCGGTCTGTCCCACCACTCTCACAGTCGACAGCCTAGAGAAGGCCCTCCTAGCGGCGGAGAAGAGCATCGTCGCTGTAGGTGCCTCTCAAGGTGACCCCCGCGCCCCCATCTTTGAGGGGTGTTCTCCTTCCCCTCTCTTGCCCTCTGTCGCCTCTGCCGCTGCGGCCGACCTCGTTGGTCTTGAGTCGGCCGGTGCAGCGTCTGCCCCTAGCGGGAGACGTCACCCTGGCAAGGGCAAGGGGGGCAAGGGAGCGGGTGGGGCTAGCGGGGGCGGTGGCGGTGGAGGTGGAGGCGGCGGAGGGAGTGGGGGTGGCGGTGGAGGAGGTGGTGAGGGTGGGGGTGCTAGTGGCAGCAGTGGTGGCGGAGGCGGCGTCAGCGGCGGCGGTACTGGCGGGGGTGGCGGCGGTGGCGGAGGTGGAGGAGGTGGAGGAGGAGGTGGTGGAGGTGGTCAGAGTGGCACTTCGCAGCGGAGCGGCACTGGGGGTGGTCAGCGCCAGCAGCAGCAGCAGCAGCAGCAACGTTCTCGCGACGTCCCCACTCGCACCGGCGACCGTGCGGGTGAGCAGTGTGGGGGTGCCCACCCCACCCAGCGCTGTTTTGGCCGCCTGACGGACGCTTGGCGTCAGCAGTTTCCGGAGGCCACGGAGATCCCCCGCTGGGGAGAGCTGTCTAGGGCTGGCGTAGCCATCTTTGATCTTGACTTTGATGCTATCCTTGCTGCCATGTATGCTGTGACTATTAGTGATGAGGGTGACTGTTACCGGTGTTTTCCGCCCGACCCGGGCATTGCGACTGCTGCTCTAGGTCCTGGTGAGGCTGCTGCACTAGGTACTTGCGACGCTGCTGCTCTGGGTGCTAGTGTGTCTGCGTCCCCAGGTACTGGTGCGTCTGCGCTCTCAGGTACTACGTCGGCTTTGGCCTCCCACACCTTCACCCTTGACTCTGGGGCGTCTCGCTCCTTCTTTCGGGATCGCACCACACTCACGCCGCTTAGTCGGCCAGTTGCGGTCTCCCTGGCTGACCCCTCAGGGGGTCCTGACCTGTCTCGCTTCTCCACTGTCCTCCCGTGTCCGGCGGCTCCCTCTGGCACCCTGTCTGGTCTCTACCTCCCCTCGTTCTCTACGAACTTGGTGAGTGGTGCTGACCTACAGGATGCGGGAGTCCACCAGTTCACCCCTGCTCGTCAGCGGGTGACGCACTGCACAGAGGCTAGCACAGGTCGACACCTGGCTACGTTTACCCGTCAGCCAGGGTCGAGCCTGTACACACTGACCACTGCGTCCCCCCCAGTTACTGAGTCTGGTAGGGTCCCTGCGTCTGGTCAGGTGTTTGCTGCAGCGTCCAGGTCTGGTCCTGAGTTTGCCCCCTGTTCGTGTCGTCTCCTATCTCACGAGACTCTCCTCTGGCACCACCGCCTTGGTCACCCCTCTCTCCTTCGGCTCAGAGGCATGGCCTCCCGTCTTCTTGTGTCTGGTCTCCCCCGGTCCCTCCCTCCCCTTCCTCAGGGCCCTGGCCCTTCCTGTGTTCCCTGTGTCGAGGGGCGCCAGCGTGCTGCCCCTCACTCCTCCCAGTTTCCTCCGACTGAGGCCCCGTTGCAGACGCTTCACATGGACGTGTGGGGCCCCGCCCGCGTCCGTGGACAGGGTCACGAGCGCTACTTCCTGCTTGTTGTTGACGACTACTCGCGTTACACCACAGTCTTCCCCTTGCGCAGCAAGGGTGATGTCACTGAGGTGCTGATCGACTGGATCCGCGCAGCTCGTCTCCAGCTCAGGCAGAGCTTTGGCTCAGACTTTCCTGTTTTGCGTCTGCACTCGGACAGAGGCGGAGAGTTCTCCTCTGGCCTTCTGCGAGCCTACTGTCGTGCGCGAGGCATCCGTCAGACCTTCACGCTTCCGGACTCACCGCAGCAAAATGGGATTGCAGAGCGCCGCATTGGCATGGTCATGGACGTCGCTCGTACGTCTATGATGCATGCGGCTGCCCCCCATTTTCTGTGGCCGTTTGCGGTGAGGTACGCGGCGCACCAGATCAACCTTCACTCGAGGGTCTCCAGGTCGGAGACCTCCCCAGCCCTGCTGTGGACGGGGAAGGTTGGCGATGCGTCAGCGTTCCGGGTCTGGGGATCTCGGGCGTTTGTCCGTGACTTGTCTGCGGACAAGCTGTCCCCTCGTGCTGCTCCCTGCGTCTTTCTGGGGTTCCCCCCCGACGCCCCTGGGTGGCAGTTCTACCACCCCACCTCTCGCCGTGTTCTGTCCTCTCAGGACGTCACGTTCGACGAGTCGGTACCCTACTACCGCCTCTTCCCCTACCGCATTCCGTCCCTCCCCCCACCCCCGCTCTTCTTGGTACCAGGTCCCCCCCCGGTAGACCCCCTCCCCCCTCAGGGTCCTGCCCCTTCAGGTGTGTCCCAGGTAGATGCAGTCGAGCCTGTCGAGGTCACTGGTGACTCTGGTGCTGCTGTGGGTGCTGAGCCTAGGGGTGCTGCGACTGGGGGTACTGTGCCTAGGGGTGCTGAGACTGGGGGTGCTGAGCCTGGGGGTGCGGAGCCTGGGGGTGCTGAGCCTGGGGGTGCTGAGCCTAGGGGTGCTGAGCCTGGGGGTGCTGAGCCTGGGGGTGCTGAGCCAGGGGGTGCTGAGCCTGGGGGTGCTTTGCCTGGGGGTGCTGAGCCTGGAGTTTCTTTGCCTGGTGGTTCGCCGGGTGCTTCGTCTCGCCGAGAGCCACTCTCCCCACAGGAGCTGCGTGAGTGGTTTTCCCGGCGCTGGAGGCGTACTGCTGGTGCTGGAGGTTCTTCGACTGCTGAGAGTGCTACTGTCGCGGGTCCCGGAGGTGCTCGTACTGTGAGTACTGGAGCTGCTGGGCCTGCGGGTTCGACAGGAGCTGGTGCTGCTGAGGGTGTTGGCGCTGAGACTACCGCTGGCGGTCCTGCTGGCGGTGCTCCTGGTGCTGCTGGGGGTTTTGGAGCTACTGGGGGTGCTGCTGGAGGTGCTACTTGAGCGGGTGCTCCTGCTGGGGGTACTGGTGCTGTCCCTGCTGTGTCTGGCGTCGCCGCGCGGCCTCGACCGTACTTCGTTCCACTCCTGCAGCAGGTTCTTGGTCTTCCACCTTCTACTGGCTCTCCCCCTCTCTTAGAGCGTCCACAGCCTGTCCCGTCCCTGTCACAGCTACAGCCTGCTTCCCCCTTACCTGCTCCTTCTCCCTACGCTGGTCCTACTGGAGGTCTTACTGAGCGTCGTGAGCCTGCGTCTCGTCCTGCGTCACCTGTTCGTCCTGCACGCGCTAGTGATCGCAGTTCGCGTCAGCGTCCTCCTCCTGTCCCTGGCACGCACCGGATGTCACTGCGCCCGTCCACTGCTCCTCTGCGTGCCCCTTTACCTTCTCCTCCTGAGTCCTCTCTTCCTGCTCTTGCCGGCCCGGAGTCGGACTCTCTTCGTGCTGCCAGTCCTACTGTCACGCGTTTCCTTGCTACTGTCGTCACTGCCCCTTCTTTCGAGTCTTCTGCTGCGTCTGCCCTCGTTACTGAGCTCGTCGACTTTGCTGCTCCCTGTCGCTTAGACTACGCTGCCAGTCTTGTCACAGAGTCTGAGTCTGTCTGTCCTCCGTCCGTCGGGGGTGAGTGTGCCCTTGGCACGGACGTCCTCGAGGACAGGCAGGAGGAGTTCCAGTGCCTGGCAGCCGCTTCACCGCATCTCTTGTCCGTACTGCTTACCCCTGAGGGAGACCCGGATGCACTTGACATCCCGACTCCGCGCTCTTACGCGGAGGCGATAGAGGGTCCCTACTCCTCTCAGTGGCAGGCAGCTATGGATGCAGAGATGGCTTCCTGGAAGTCCACAGGCACCTACGTTGACGCTGTCCCCCCTCCTGGGGCGAACATAGTCAGTGGCATGTGGATCTTCAGGGTGAAGCGGCCGCCGGGTTCTCCGCCTATCTTCAAGGCGCGTTACGTGGCTCGTGGCTTCAGTCAGCGGCAGGGGGTTGACTACTTTCAGACCTTCTCTCCCACCCCGAAGATGACCACTCTTCGGGTACTGCTGCATGTTGCTGCTCACCGTGACTACGAGCTTCACTCTCTTGACTTCAGCACTGCGTTCTTGCAGGGCAGCCTGCACGAGGAGATCTGGCTGCGCCGCCCACCTGGCTTCACTGGGTCTTTCCCTCCTGGTACCCAGTGGAGTCTCCGGCGTCCAGTCTACGGTCTCCGCCAGGCGCCCCGTGAGTGGCACGACACACTGAGGACTACGCTTGCGGCTCTTGGGTTTGCTCCTTCTACTGCCGACCCGTCGCTGTTTCTGCGCACCGACACTTCTCTGCCGCCGTTCTACATCCTCGTGTACGTCGACGACTTGGTCTTTGCCACTGCTGACACTGCTGGACTCGCCTACGTGAAGTCCGAGCTGCAGAAGAGACACACGTGCACAGACCTGGGTGAACTGCGCAGCTACCTTGGCTTGCAGATCACCCGGGACAGAGCACGCCGCACCATTACCTTGACTCAGTCACACATGGTGCAGCAGGTCCTTCAGCGCTTCGGCTTCACGTACTCCTCGCCTCAGGCCACTCCTCTGCCTACTCGCCACTCGCTCTCAGCTCTGCCTTCGGATGAGTCCGTAGAGTCGAGTGGCCCGTATCCAGAGCTTGTTGGCTGCCTCATGTACCTGATGACCTGCACTCGACCTGACCTTGCATACCCTCTTAGCATTCTCGCACGCTATGTTGCTCCTGGGAGACACCGACCAGAGCACATGGCTGCAGCGAAGAGGGTGTTGCGCTACTTGTGCAGTACGTCGGGCATGGGGCTAGTGCTTGGAGGGCGTAGTCCAGTGGTCCTCACTGGGCACGCTGACGCCTCTTGGGCTGACAACCAGGCTACGCAGCGGTCGTCACAGGGTTACACCTTCAGCCTCGGTTCCGGCTCTGTTTCGTGGCGGGCTACCCGCTCGTCTTCTGTTCTCGGCTCCAGTTGTGAGGCTGAGATCTACGCCGGGGCTATGGCTGCCCAGGAGCTTCGCTGGCTCACCTACCTGCTGACCGACCTTGGAGAGCCGCCTCGTTCTCCTCCAGTCCTGTACGTAGACAACAAGGCCATGCTGGCCTTGTGTCGAGAGCAGCGACTGGAGCACAGAACAAAGCACATTGCTCTCCGCTACTTTCTTGCTCGTGAGCTACAGCAGCGTGGACAGTTGCGGCTTGCGTACGTGGCCTCTGAGGCCAACACTGCTGATGTCTTCACCAAGGCACTTGCGCCTTGTGATCATCAGCGCTTCTGCACTCAGTTGGGTCTTGTGCCTGTCTTGCCTCACTTGCTCACTTCTTGACCTTGCTTGTACTGTCACTTATATATACTCTTGCTCTTGCTTGCTTAGCCTCTTGTATATCTATATATATGTGTTCTTGCATGTGAACTGGCCTTTTGGCCTTTGAACTTGTGCTCGGAATGTGTGGTGACTTCGTGATCCACCCTGAGCTTTGCCTTGCTTTGCTTGACTGGTCTTGTGACCCCTTGCTCTCCCCCACTTTGCCTATGGGGGTGTGTCAGAACATTATAGCTTACTTATTTGTGTAGGCTATAGTGGGGTATCCCATAGGGGGTACAACCCGATTAGGGTTTCCTATTTGTACTCACTTCATTCATAGTCATTTCATTCTCGTTCTCTCTTTCACAGATAGCAAGCCGTCAAGCGAGGTCGCCTCGCCAAGGCAACGCCGCCGCTGCTTCAAGCGTCGTAGCGACATTGCTGTGTTCCGCCGTGTCGCTGCTGTTTTCATCATCAACGCGACGTAGCCGCAGTTTTCGCCAATGAAGCAACACTGACGCTGCCGTAATCGCCGAAGCTTAGCTGGTTGTTCCGCCGGAAAAGCAACGTCTTAGCTGCTTTAGGCGTCGAAGCTTACAAGCAACGGCGCTTCGGTTTTTCGTCGCCGATACAACGTTGCTGGTATTTCCGCGGTCAAAGCGACGACTTGCTGCTTCCCGCTATAAAGACAACGACACCGTCGTTTCCGCTATCACAGCGGCGTTGCTGCTGTTTCCGTCGCCGAAGCTAACTCGTTGCTATTTCTGCCGTCAAAGTGACGTTGCTGCGGCTTACGCTGTAAACAAAACGCTACTACCGTTTCCGTCGTCAAAGCGAGGGAGCTGCTGCTTCCGCCATCAAAACAACGACGGTAGCTGCTATCTCCGCGGTAAAGCGATGTCGTTGCCGCTTCCGCCATCAAAACAACGTTACTGCTGTTATCGCCGTCAAAGCGACGGAGCTGCTGTTTCCGCCGTCAAAGTGACGGAGCTGCTGTTTCCGCCGTCAAAGCGACAGAGCTGCTGTTTTTGCCGTTATAATACCGTCACAACGAGAGAAAAGATTTCAGCAGCAGCAACCAAGCAACGGGCAGCACGCCTCAAGTGACGGAGCGGCCGAGAGGCAGAGCGACGGACGGAGCATGGTACGTGCCAGGGGTGCTTGCAGGGGGGCAGTGAAGTGAGTCGTAGGGCGTCGCCGCGCAGAGGCAAAGAGTCGTGCATGTTGTGTAACAATCACGGCCCTTATAACAACGGGCAACCGTGTGTTAAATATAAATCACACTTGACAACATTTATATAAAATCAAGATACAAGGCTTTCAAGGTTAACTAATCCCACCAAGGGGTAATTTAGCCTTGATAGTACTCCTAAGCTTGAGAGGAGAAAGGGAGCTTGAAGAAGGTTGATGAAGCTTTAATAATTAGGTAGGAGCTTCTTGTAGAGCTTGTCCTTGAAAAATCACAAGTCTAGTTGTGTAGGGGAGCTTATTAGGAGAACCCAAAAGACTTAGAGTTAAAATCCCATTTCCAAGTTAGATTGTTGGAGTTGGGAAGTGGGAAATGAGCTTGAGAGCTCCAACCCCTTCCATCATACCCCTTGGGGCTTTTCCCAACCATGGCTTCCATGGTTGGGGAGCTAATAGGCTTGGAGCCTAGGTGGTAATTTAGTTTGGTTGGGAAAAACCCAACTTAGCACAATTGTATGGTTGTTCTAAGTTTGTGTGGATTGTAACAACAACTGGCACAATTTGATTGGTTGGAAATCCAACCTTTCCAATCTTCACTTTGATGGGTTGGAAGTTTCCAAGCCTCAAGGTTGAGGGTTGGGAAAACCAAACCGATGTTCTTCTCCAACTCAACCTTCCCGATTGCCTTCACGTCATTTCTCATCGAGGAAGTCTCTCGATGTTGACTTAGGAAGTTAGCGGTAGATGAGGCAGAGTAGGTTATGCGTTACACTCCTCCCCCCCTAGGTGGCAACGTCCCCGTTGCCTCAGGGTGCTTCTGAGGACGAGCGCTTCGAGTACGCCGTGTCACATTACGACCAGGATCAACGCCCTCCACTGGTTGTGCGGCAGCTCGTCGAGCCAGGTCTGTCATGTATGACTGAACTGCAGTTTCAGTCAGATGCTCTTCTGGCTCCCATGAGTTGTGTTCAGGCCCATAGCCTTTCCACTTGATGAGGAACTCTCGTACTGTCTTGCGGCCGCGTTGTCGATCACGATGCATTAGCACTCGTTCGACTTCATAAAACAGTTCCTCCCCCAGGACGATCGTTGGTGGCGGTAAGTACTTGCCCTCTGCAATGTACTTGTTCAACAGAGACACATGGAAGACGTTGTGAATCTGTAAAGTGTCAGGTAGCTTAAGCTTGTAAGCTACCACACCAACATGCTTGATCACCTCGAAGGGCCCAATCCATCGAGGGAACAGCTTTCGTGCTCCAGGGATTTTGAGACGAATGTTCTTCGTGCTTAACAAAACTTTGTCTCCAACCTCAAACGAGACTTCCCGGCGTTTCATGTCGGCGTAAGACTTTTGTCGCTGCTGAGAGAGTTGTAGCCACTGGCGAGCAGACTTAAGCGCTTCTTGCTGCTTGCCAACAAAGTCTTTAGCGGCTGGAATTTTCAATCCGCCGATCCCATGCGTAGCAGGCGTTGTGGGATGCCGACCATAGTTCAGAATGAAAGGTTTCTCA